CAGAAAGTCCTGGAATTACTGAAAGCACAGCATGCAAGGTTAATTTTCACGTTGAGTAACTCCAATGGAAATAGACGACAGGTTGCTTTAAGCGGACTGCTTAAGTTGATATCAAAATAACTATACTATAAGACAGAGTAGATACTATCCATAACGAAGGAATCTCACGACGCCCTGAAGAGAATCAAGCCTCGTATTAATACCATGGGGAGCAGCTCATTTAAACAATCATTTACGTAATTCCTAAACCCCAATGGGTTGACGATAACCCATTATGTTTAACTAATGAACACTACTACAGCCAGTTACTTTGCATACCTAGTCTCTTATCAAAACTAGATGGCAGTATGTGTAAATTGCATCTCCGAGTGCATGGTTATCCATCATCAAAATGCAACACAGTACAAATGTCAACCAGCTCAAGTCGCCACACCAAATCAGTACAGTGAGATGAAATTTACAGCAGGAATAGCAAGAAGGTTTAAATAAATAAAGTATCAGTAATATTGAAAAAACCACTGAGAGTATGACTGGAAAAGAATATACGTATGGGGAATATCGTGACTCAAAATAGAGGGGATACAGCTGAGCCATTGTTGTCAATTACGAATTATGCCACCTGAGATCAAAAATCGCCAAACCTGGTCATCGTGTAGACTCCGAATTGATTGTTTGCATTTATCAAAACAGCTAGGTTGTGAAGTCAATAACTTCATGAATAGATTTTGATTAAACTATTTTTTGAGCTTCAAGCGATGAATCCTTAAGTGTTTTGATGACACCTGCCCCACAGAAAACACCCATTCTACCCAACATTGCACGTCGAGGTAGACAATAGCCGGGTATACGTAGCCCATACCTTGGTCATCTCAGACGATGAAGATTGGGAATTTTGTAAACTGATTTGTTACATAATCTCAACACACTTAACATCAACATTGCTTACTCCACTGTCCCAGTATACCTGATAAATGCCTAGAGAACTCAAAAATCTAGGGTGGCCCACAGCATGAACAGACTTACCCTAATATGAAATATTTAGTTAGCGATTAATGAGATTTATACGGTCGTTTGAGGATCAGTCAGTCATCCGAGAAATGCAAGAAAGATATAACCACGTATTCGCAAACTAATTCCACTTCTGGGAAAAACCTTTTCCGTTGTTATAAGGACAGACATGAAACTTCAGTAGATGAAATATCCACTCAATAACCTTGGGGGATGAGTATATTCTAGATTCCCATGCTTATATAAGCTCTGTTCAGTTATTAGAACAAGCGCTTTCAAAGTTACTATCATAAACTTTATGACGACCCTCATGAACAGTGAGAAAATCTGCTGGTACTAACATTTACCAATATAATTACAAGCACAGAAATTTAAGGAAGCATGAAGATTAAGGATCAAACCGACGAGCAAATATAGTAAAAAGGCATTAGATTATAACAATCATCAAAAGTCTAACAAAGCACTAACGAAACAAGAACTAATGATGAAAATACCTGCTAGGCAGATATTTTTTCTTCAGCTAATAAGGGATAGATTGGACGGTATTGTGAAAGTTAAACGGTAATTGTGGTACTCTCTAAGACAAAAATCACAGAACATTGTAATTCTGATTAAATACTACGTTAAGGAACATATTTACCTCCAACGGGTATAACACACTAGCATGTGCCAAAATCAGTCGTAAATTCCGGGTACAATTTACAAAAATCTCCAAGTTGTGTTTTTAAATGTTATTTAACAAAGATATCAACGCCGATGATGTAAAGATAAATATTTTAATAACGTTGTTTAAGTTACTAATGTACTTTGAAGGTCAAAGACCATTATCTATATACTTAGGAATACGTTTACACTACTCATAGAACGCCAATGCATTTCATTCATTTCACGAGTTCACGAGAGATTTAAAAGTTTTTTGACAGTGCTGCTTCTAGTAGATTATACCCATATTTTCCAAAACTCGAAAATAAGCTGACGTTATTGGACGAATGATGAAATTTTGGGTGAGTTAAATTGACTGACAGTCTCATCCATGCGTGTGAAAATGTTCAAAAAATTCCTTACCGAAATTTATGAATATTTGGACGGGAGGCAATTTTTGGATCGTGGGCCAGTTAAATGTTAGTGTCATGTCATCCGGCAGTCGGATCCCTGAGTATCGAACAGTTCACCGATCCGCGTCAGTGTTTAGTACAACCGACGCGCAGCAATCAATTGTAGGCCGTGAACTGGCTCATGTGGTGGTGGTCACACTCAGTTTCTTGTCCCTATCATTAATATATATATATATATGTAATGGCCTTGTTTATGTTATGCAGTCGCCAATGTAGCCATTGTGCCCAAATACGACGAAGAAATAATTAACGTTCGGTATTAACCATGAGCTGTGTTTATGACGTTAGCTGACTGATCACACCTTTCCTGTCTATCGCGAGTAGGCCTCCAATTATCGTCACAGATAACCAACGTTTGTAATATACAAGGCCCATCAGAAATTTTATGTTCGACATGAAAAATTCAGTAGTGACTATATAGTTTCGTTCAGGTGTTTGCTCACGTGCCTGTAGAGTCATTGTGAAGTCAGTCGAACCATGAAAATTTCTCCTCAGCACTAATAAAGGAAATTCAACGCTAAAACGATATGTACAGTTATAGAGGACAAATTTTCAGTTGGAAATCAGTAATATGTCTTACAAAAAGTTCAGATGCTGTGCAATGAGATAAACTCAATACAAAACACAAACACAGGGAACAAATGAATATTTGATAGAAACGTGATTAAAAACTAAAAAACAATGTTGGGACTCAGAAAACTTATTCACAGTCCTTAGGATGACCGGGTTTGGCGATTTTTGATCTCAGGTGGCATAATTCGTAATTGACAACAATGGCTCAGCTGTATCCCCTCTATTTTGAGTCACGATATTCCCCCATACGTATATTCTTTTCCAGTCATACTCTCAGTGGTTTTTTCAATATTACTGATACTTTATTTATTTAAACCTTCTTGCTATTCCTGCTGTAAATTTCATCTCACTGTACTGATTTGGTGTGGCGACTTGAGCTGGTTGACATTTGTACTGTGTTGCATTTTGATGATGGATAACCATGCACTCGGAGATGCAATTTACACATACTGCCATCTAGTTTTGATAAGAGACTAGGTATGCAAAGTAACTGGCTGTAGTAGTGTTCATTAGTTAAACATAATGGGTTATCGTCAACCCATTGGGGTTTAGGAATTACGTAAATGATTGTTTAAATGAGCTGCTCCCCATGGTATTAATACGAGGCTTGATTCTCTTCAGGGCGTCGTGAGATTCCTTCGTTATGGATAGTATCTACTCTGTCTTATAGTATAGTTATTTTGATATCAACTTAAGCAGTCCGCTTAAAGCAACCTGTCGTCTATTTCCATTGGAGTTACTCAACGTGAAAATTAACCTTGCATGCTGTGCTTTCAGTAATTCCAGGACTTTCTGGATTGAGTTAAGGCACTAATGGATTTAATTTTACAACCAGTTCACGATAGAGCAACGCTACAGAAGAGTTCCACAAACGCGTTCCTGCACATTCTCTTCGTGACTTTCATAAATAAGTTATTTTGGGTCTCTTGACTACTAGAAGGGAATTTAGTAAGGAGTCGGTAATTTCAAAGTTTTAATAGTTTTCTCAGGGTGATGAGCATTTTCAAGTAGCAAGACATAGTCCTGCTCGAAAAGTTCCTACAGAAAGTAGTGATTTTCTAAGTTCTTACCTGAAGTGTATAAATTCGGTTATTCATAGATGAATGATGTATTACCTAGTTTATAGCCTCAGAACTGCGAGTCATGACACAAATATCTGCTTTCAATTAATTGAAAATCATTCTCCCTTACTACCAAAACAATCGACAGAGCGAAATCGAAAATTTTCAGGCAGAAAAGTACTACACAATTCACATTTGAGATCTGGGTTATCATATCAGGGCGGCCAGTATACAACAAGAGCACGATATTTCTCATCAAATCTGCATACGTAGTCCAGGATTGTGTTCTCCGATCTCAACGACGTTCATATGTGGGAGTTATAAATAGTCGGTTTTAAAAGTAATACACCCCGGCGACTTCACAGATCTCGTGCGTCTACACCGAAGTTTGTGATATAAAAGCATAGTCTTGAGAAAACGAGAACGAATAACCCCAAAGTTTGTGTTCAGCAATTTTATTTCGCAAAAGATGGATTTGAGAGAAGCAGAACGGTTTCCGCTCAGGTATCGTATGCGTTGGTCACTTCTTCATTTTGAGAATAGTCATACTTATTATAGTCAGCAATCGTTGTGTTCTTCTGAATAATGGACGCTTTCGATTCGTTGGGTAGGACTGGGTTGTGTAATTATTCATCCAGAAAGGTGTGTTTTCAAGGCTCACTAACATTTTCATGGCTGTATTCAGAAATACGTCAAACAGAGTTGTTCCAATCCAAAGGTAGTGCATAATCACCCAATCTCACCGTTTCCCTCCAATTATGTCATCGGTAAATTTCTGGATACAGATCTGGAGAGAGGATGTGATAGTGTAGATTTGTTTTCCCTCATGTTAAACACTCCGAACTCGAGTGCGTGGTAGTCTATACATCTTAGCAGCTGTGCGAGTTTTGTTAGTGGTGTAGCATGTGGGGTCATGTACACGTATATTACTTCAGCAAGATTATGTTTTGCGGGTACTTTATCGACCAAGAGTTCGTTTGGCTAAGCTTCATGGCCACATTTTTAACAGCGCTCATATTGGTTATTATGTCCTCTAGTTTGAGTTTAAACCTGTTTTCTACTGTCAATTCTGTGTAAAGGTATTTATAATGCTCAAATAAAGTATTCTGCTAGTTCACATTGAATTTCTAAATACATTTAGTGACTTGAAGATACTTTGAATTACCATATTTTTATGTTTGTGCATATTTCTTACAACAATTGAATTGCCATTTAACCGTACTGTAATCTGTCGTTTCGCTTCAGATTTATTGACAAATTTGCACAATGAGTGAAGGAAGAACTGCTATTCAAAGATGTGAAGAACTTATTTCTCGATGGAAATCTGAACGAAATTCACCAACATTTGACCCAGTTCCTTTGTTAAATAAGTAAACATTTAGAATGTTGCATATGTTTATTTTTATTTAATTAGCTTTTCAGAATTACTAGAAGAACAAATCAACTTATTTTTTAGTACTGATCCAGATCCTTTCGATGATCGTCATCCACTGCGGACGGATTCTAGTTGTGATTTAGGTCAGATATTACGTCTTCTGTCATCTCACGATGCCTTTCTGGAACGTTTAACTTATGTTTATTTGTTGGGTTCTAATGATCCATCAAACGAATTGGTAATTGCTGCATCACGACTGCTCTGTGCAATGAGATTGGGTGTGACTTTGTCATTTTCACTGGATGAGGAGGTATGATTAAAGCCTAATTATAACTGGGTATTTTTTGTAGGATGTAATAATTAATACACTCTACAATTTGGCATTAAGTGAAACTGAGCCAACTAATTGTTATGCTTTGTTTCTTCTGGGTTCTGTTCTTGATAATACAGAATTACTCTATATTACGCGACAAAAAAATATACAATTGGTTTGTATTCTGATTATTTCTGATTAATTTTAATATTCTCACTCATTAAATAATAGATTCCAATTGTGTTAAATCGCCTACTCAGTTACACAGGTCAATTAAAAAATGAATTATCTTCAAGTGAGTAGTAATACTTTATTATATCCTTTTATTAATTACCTTTGGTTGTTTAGCTAGCCAATCAACTTACGAAGGTGGTATGACAAATTTATTAGGAAGTTTTGTTTTGAATCCACTCAGGACGGAAATGAAGATTCGGCTTTCAATTGCCTATTTGATCCCATTGGCTGAATATCAGGATGTATGTTTCCTTTTCTGAGTTTATATATTCTTCTAAAGTTTGCGTCTTGTTAATTAGTGTGGCGATATACTTTCGTATATTTTTTAAGACACGAGAATAATCCCATACTAGTCAACCATAAAGATATTCTAAGTGTTATTGTTAATTTGGTCGTATCCAGAAAAGAATATCAGTTCGTGAATAACTTGATCATCATGTTGTACTACACATAAGTGCTAAATTCAGTGGTGTATAATAACTTGGTTTCTACTCAATTATCCCATTACATTTTGTAAATGTATACTTCACTTATTTGTTTTTTCTTTAATTATTCAACGAATTGTTCAGAAAATGATTTATCCCTTAAAGCTGTGTAGGTTTGTTTAGACATAAAGCGAATATAAAGAAATGAAGATTTAGTGCAATTAATACCTTATATAAATTTCAGTAGAGCAACTCCATCTTCTCATTGCTTTATCGAAATGGACATTTGCCGTTTACATGACGACCAGGATCAATGGTTAGAAACCTTAAGTGATGGCTTAAAATCGAACGCAGTAGTTTAGATGCATGTATGGTTCGTTTTATCCCTGACTCTTAGTTTCAGAACTGTTTCGTACTTTATACTCCTCAAGTCCATTCCTTTTATTTGAACCGTTTATCTAACGTTTGATCGTTTCTACTATTATTATCCTACTCCTTTGCTATGCATCTTGTTAATTTTATTTTAGTTCCAACGACAACTAGTGAGTTTCTTAGTTGACCATGGGGTTGTTCTTCGTGTCATTTGAATCTAGGCCTGTGTAAATTCACTTACTTATCCCACTATGAACAAAGACCTAATCCGATATTATGAAATCTCCTTATTATGACTTCTCAATCTATTAGATCTTATTTCGAATTCGCATAATTCTCTATACTAAGTCGTCCTTTTGCGATAATCAGTAATATATTCAATGACCTTTTAAAAAACATTTGGGCTTGGGATAGAATATCATATTTGACATGACGACTAAGAGTTTAAGTAGAGTTACCACGCTTGTTTAGTCAAGTCATTGTGCTGTAACGGTTGGCGTCCAGCCATAAGGTACTTGGTTTACTAGAGGAGCGTGCACAGTAGCGTCATTGCGGGTTTTCGAAATGAGGAGACCAAAATCTACGTACATTTAATTTGGAAAGCAATCGACAATAATCAGAACTGACGCAAGCCTCAGATTAAGACAATCTTGGAATCGGAATTAAAAGTAGATAGTTCATCTATGGTATGCGCTTCTTATGTGGGCAGGTATAACTAGTATATAGTAGGACTAGAAAGTGGAATGCTTACCAGCGGCATATTGAAATAAAAAGATCAGAGAAACCGAAAGCAATCGGAACAACAGAATTAGAAGGATTATGGAGTATGTAAAGAACAACTGAAGGGAGATGTCCAAATGATGTATTTACTTCATGACTTTCATATTTTACAAAGACACTGTGATCTTGCATAAAATAATAAATTGAATTATCGTGCATGACTTTTCGTTTACTACACATCCGACTACAGCCATCACAACTAAGTGTTCTTACGTTCACGTTTTCTGACTTTCTCCAAGTATTCAACTGCTCATATGAATCTTCACATTTATTGTATGTTCAGCCTCAAGGATCATGTGGTTAGTAATCGATGCCACTACGTCTTCATTCCAATGTGGCACGATATCTGAATGTCTGTATAAACTGAATCTCAAATCGTATCATGCAAAACGACTTTGCATCGTTGTCTGTCGAGCTTGATCCGCGATCAGTCAACGGTCGCCTTGAGAAACCGTCTAACCGAATTTTCCGCGGATTCTCGGGGCCAATGTTTAAGAACACTCAGCAGCATATTGTCTCTAATCTGTGAAACGTGGCCTTTAAAAGTAGAGGCTATTCGTAGGTTGCTATTATTTGATTATAAGTACCTTCGAGACATTGCTTGTAAGTGTTGGGATCACCGAGTCAGTAAAATTGTTAGATGCACAATACTGGGTAAGTGATGGCAAGTCGACTGACTACATAATGAGTCTTCATCTATTAAGGTGGTTGGTACATGTATTAGGTAAACCCAACCGCCTACCTCGACGGGCAATGCTTTCTAGTTAAGAGTCAGTTGGAGGGAAGTTAGGGTGTAGCTAAACCAAGACATGTGATCACCCGATAAGGTGTTGACTATTGAACCGAACAGTGTCTTTAAGTGCAGACTACCTGAATCGGGTTCGTGCAATTATCATAATCAGTGATTGCAGATTTTGGGTCGTTCGTAGTGATAAGGGTACATTCACTCTTTGTATTCTCTTAGATCTTGAGATTAAAATTGTCTCACACCTTTTATTTCGCAAAATCATCCTTATTGAATCGTTTCGTCTATACCTATTGTTTTCCACTACCAATAATACTATCCGTACTTTCGTTCAATGCCTGCTCTCTGTATAATAAATTTATTCATATTAAAACTCTTTTATTCCTTGTTAATCCGACCATTGTACTTATTACGGAAACGTGGTGTAATTCATCTATATCCGATCATTCCTTGAATGTAGATAACTACGTTTTCTTTAGAACCGATAGATGTTATGGAATAGGAGGCGGTACAATTATCTATGTCCGTTCAGACATTCAAGCGTGCAAATTTGAGGATAAATCCCTTGATGCTATAGACGACTCCACTTGGGTTACTGTAAACTGTGGATCCCAAAATTATTTACTTGTGGGATGCATATATAGACCACCTCATGCGGATACTAAGTTTGACAAATTACTAACAAACATATTTTCCATTGCTTCGCACCAACCGCATACTTTTAAAATCATCGGAGGCGATTTTAACCTGCCAAAAATTAAATGGGGCTTGACTCCGGTACCAGGTCGATATAACAAGCTAGTTGAAACATTAGAAATTTGTGGATGGGTTCAACAGGTCCGAAAACCAACCAGGGGGAATAATACACTTGATTTAATGTTCACAATCAACATAGACTCTATCTCAGTACATACCAGTCATGAGTTTTTTATGAGTGACCATAGAGTTGTATTGAGTATTATTCACTCTTTAAACGCCATACAATTGAACTCTAAAGCTTCATTGATGTACCAAAGCAGACATTTTGATCAACAAACATGGAAACGGACTGGAACTCTCATTCAATGTTTACCATGGGAAACTTATTTTACCACAAATAATGTTGACATTGCGCTTTCCAATCTATACCACAACCTGATATATTGTCTTGACTGCACTGCTCCAGTTATTGGCCGTGTGGCTTATAATGCTAATAGGGGCCAAAATACTTTTAAAAGAAAGCTGAGGAAATTAAAATGCCGCTACTACGAGCAGAATGATGTGTATGCACTTCAGAGTATACTTAAATTAATCAACAGAAATGCTTCATCTAAACGTAAGTATTTTATGAATATAGAAAATAAAGCTCTACGTAGTAAAAGCCCAGAATTATCAATACTTCGGCTTTTTAAATCCCGTGTAAAGTCAAATTCCCTTGGCACGACTAAATTCTTCATAGTTAACGGAAGCATTGTTAACGACCCGAATACTATATGTGAACAATTCAGCAAGCACTTCTCGCAGTGCTACAAAACTGGAACTGAAAACTCCATCATTACATTTCCAATGCTGACATCCAGACATCTGTCGAAAATTGATTTTACACCCTCCAACATCAAGCAGGCCATAGCTGCCCTGAAAAAGTCTTATGATGGTGGACCTGACGGGATACCTTCATCATTTGTGAAATATGGAAGTAGAGAATTTCCACTATTTTGTTTGAAACTTTTCAATCTATCTATGGAATATGGGACCTATCCATCTGTATGGAAAACATCCCTTATCACCCCTAGATTCAAAACAGGACCACGTAGTGATATTATTAACTATAGGCCAATTAATTTGACATCCGTGCTCTCAAGAACCATGGAAAAAATCATCCACAAACAGCTACTATCATTTTTACTTTCGGCTAGTCTGATCAGCCCATCCCAACACGGGTTTATGACTAAACGCTCATGTTTCACATCGCACCTGGAGTTTTTTGATCAAATTACCCAGAAAGAGATGTTGGTCAGTCAGTGATAATTCTTTACTTCGATTTTAGTAAGGCTTTCGACAGTGTCTCACACAAACTTCTTCTTTTAAAACTCTCTTCATTTGGCATACAGAATCCCCTTTTATCTTGGCTCAAATCTTTTTTAGAAGAACGTAGCCAAATCGTTCGCTTTGGATCTTGCTACTCTAAACCTGTGAATGTAACCAGGGGGTTATACAAGGAAGTGTGGTTGGTCCATTACTCTTTCTCCTTTTTATCAATGATGTGTGTTCCCTCTTTCAGTATGGTAAGCCTTTTCTTTTTGCTGATGACCTGAAAGTAGTTTATTCATTCTCTTCTCCCACGAAAGAAAGCTATATTTCAGCGGTAATCCAAGAGGAAATAAACAAGTTGTACGAATGGACTATTTCGTGGAATATGCCACTTAATGTTGACAAAAGTGGATTTATTCACATTGGTCGCTGTCTTAACTTAAATCTGACTGTACAGACACATACACTCAAACCTCTTAATACTGTTCAAGTGTTCTCGAACTCCTTTAGTAATGTATATATCATAGAAGCACCCTTCCCGTCAGTGCATACAGATTCCCCCTCACATACACTGGATAGCGTGACCATTAAAGAACTCGATGTATTTGGTCTGCTAAATAAGCTCGAGATAGATAAATCCACGGGGCCCGATGAATTACGTCCTAGGCTACTGAAGGGATTATCTAACTTCGTTGCGAACCCTTTAAGTATATGGTTTAACCCATCCGTAAGGCAAGGTCGTTTACCCAAGGACTGGAAAAACACCATTGTAAATCCTGTCTTCAAAACAGGTACGAAACACAAACCTGAGAATTGCCGCCCCGTTAGCCTAACTAGTGTGGTTGTTAAAATCTTGGAAAAAATTATTCGGAAGGAGCTATTTGAGTACCTCGATGAAAACCGGATTTTTTCGAAGAAGCAGCACGGTTTCAGAATAGGTACTCTTGTCTCACTAACTTATTAGTGGCTCGTGA